ATACCCCGCCGCCCCAGGCCGGCAGCCTCTCGTCGGAGTCCTCCACAGGCAGTCAAACGCCGGTAAGTTTTTTTTTATTAGGTTTGGCCGCCCAGCGGCAGCGGCCCTTGGCCGCGGGTTTTCCGGCGTTTCAACCACAGAGACGCCGAGCCGACAGTGGCGGGAGGGCTGATGGCCGACGGTTCAGGATTCCAAGTCCCAGATTTTTCAGGTTCGAAGGTTGCTCGAACAGAACCATTCCAAAAATCCCTTTTTTTTTATTAAATCGTACAACCGCCATTAAAGGCGGACACGAGCTCAAAGCTCGAAGTTCCGGCGGCCAGCCTCTGCAGCGACAATCGCCGGCAGCAACCTCGTGGTATAGGACGGGAGATCGGGAAACGGGGCGAGAAGGGTCGTACGGTGAGCGTGATCGAAAATCCATTTCCCAGATTTTGATGAACAAACCCATTCCCAGAATATGAAGTGCAGGTTTGAACAGAACAATTAAAACCAATTCTCTAATTTTAGTTTAATCACCTTGCCTTGCCGCCTCCGGTTTGCCTAAATCGACTGGAAAAACCGATTACACGAGAGCTAGGCGGCGCCAAAGCAGACATAGCCGGATCTAGGTGGGTTTGGCGGCCAGGCGGCTTGCTGGCGCCTAGTCGGACCTAGGTGCTTCTAAGAGGGTTCGGCTGTAGTTTTCAATTTATTTTAATCTTTCTAAATACTAATTATATTATTTAGTTAAAATATTTTCTTTATAATATATTAATATTATTAGTTGGACTAAATGTATTGATTTATTATAAGTTGAGATAGTTTTATTTTGTAGTCAGTGAAAAAAATAAGCTATTTAAAGTCTGATTATATATAAGTTCGATAGTAAAAAACTCAATTCAAATTTAAATTTAACTCAACTTTTACTCAACTTTAACCCAACCCTACTATCATTAATATTATCAATATAATTAAATAATATCAACCAATCATTTTTACAAATCACATCAACTTTAATTCACTATTCATATACTCACATAATTCTAACTAACTATCACTTCCAATTATTTTTTTCCTATTTTACATCATATCAACTTTAATTATTTTATTTAAATATTATTTTAATACATTCACTAACAACTAACCATACTACTTTTTTTTTTTAAAAAAAAATTAACTATAGTTAAAAATAAACCAAATAACTTCAATCCATAAACAATCACCCCCTTACTCTTAATTTTTAGGCTCTGCCTAGGCGCCGACTAGACCCCGCCTAATGGTATGAAAAAATAGTTTTTCCTTTTTTTTTTTAACAAACCGCACCGATTATGTTATCATGCTTGTACTTTACATATAAAAGTTGATTTTTGGGCCTTTGGTTTAAGTTGACTAACATTGACGATAAATAAGTAAAATAGTAAAAAACAGCAATAACAATTAACAATTAAAAACACTACATTAAAATCTAATTTCTTGCCATAGTCTTTCACTTTGAGCTCAAATTTTGGGCCTTTAGTTTGGTACTGTTGCACATTAGATGATGATAATATAGCTTCATTTTATTTTGGTTTTTTTTTTTTAAAAAAAATTGCGGTTAATCGAAACTGCGTCAAACCGAACCGAAAATTTCGGTGCGATTGTGGTTGGGTTTTTCTTCCAATGTTAGCGTGGTTCGGTTTGGATAAATGAACATTTTTTGTTTTTGTTTTTGCAGTTCGGTGCGGTTACTGCACCATGCTCACCCTTAGATTTGAGTCCTTGATAACCCCTTTCTAGTGAGCCATCCCATATGTGGTCCTGACCCTCAGGGTCGTGCCTGCAACCACCCATCCTCGCCACCTCTTTCTCCTTGAGTTGGTTCTTGTTTCGCTATTGATGTAGCGAAATAACTCTTGTAGGTTGCAGAAAGATGCAGTCCTATCTTAACCTCGGTAGAAATTGCTTCCCACAGACTGCGCCAATTGGATAGCAACCTACCAAATATTCCGATTTTAGGTAACCCATATCTCTCTGAACTTCCGGTTGATGGACTTGGTTATCCAGTCGCCTGAGATTGAATTGTTCGTAATGTAGATGGTGATCTGCAAAACAAGGGCCTGGAGGTGCTCCCGACGTTAACACTTTGACAATCAAGTTTGTGAGAGGATGTGGAAGGTAATGTAACTAAAAATTATTAAGTTATCAGATGAAAAGGAATGTATAGTCATACCTCATCCCTTTTTATATTGTGATTACCTTGATGCCCAATAAATTGTGTATCTTAGTGCCCAAGAATTGCCTGAAAGAACAACAGGCTGCCCGAGGGGCTATCCAAATTCATTCTTATCCATATGACTAAGTTTATCTTGATGTGTTCACACTTGATGCTCTTCAGGTCCTTCCGTTTACCCTAGGTCGAGATGTGTCACACAACTATCTCCAGGTCTTCATGTCACTCGAGGTGTGTCACACAACTATCTCCAGGTCTTCATGTTAAGGTGAAACTGGTGTGGAAGCGAGCTATTTAGGTCGGTTGGCTTTATTTCGTTTACCCCTACTAGGTCTAGCCGTAACACTGAGACACTGAGGGTTTTAGGTACGAAGTTACCTCGATAATATAAGTAAGTGCGACATAAATGTCTCAACTCGACCTAACCACCTTTCCTAGTGACACAATTACCTCCGTAACTCGATCCGGTCAAACTGGTCATTCCGCTGGGCTCTAGCTATATTAGTAATCGACCATGCGTAACTCGATCCGATCGAACTGGTCATTCTTCTAGGTTCTAGCTATATTAGTAATCTACCATGATACTTTACAGTATTATTTTTTTGTATACTTCTTTGAACCTAGCTAATTACCAACCAAAATTTCAATTGGTACATATCTTTATTAAAATGGATTTTTTTTTGGGGGGGTGTTGCAGTGACAATATTTTTTAAAAGTACATACCAAAATTTTCTTGAAATTTACTACTTTCCTGAAAATGGTAAAAGAGTGCATCTACACCTGAACTATTTTGGTTTTGCTATGAACCCAACAGTTGACTCCATAATAGAGCCAACCTTCTAAATACAACAAGTAAACTTAGCATATTCCCTGATTACTTAAATAATACTAATATAATTTTATTGAATATGGCAAGTTTATTTGTTGTATGTATAAAGTTAACTCCACTATGGAGCCAACTGTTGGTTTCATATCAAAACCGTGAACTATTTACATAACATTTCATTTTAAGTTTGATTCCTAATATGATGTTCTGAAGTACTCTTTAATTATCCTAAGTTGGCTTTATTCCTAACAGATGTTATAATTATTTTGGCAAGAAAGAAACCATTCTTTTTCACCATTTGTTTTTGTTATTTTATAGCAAAAATCTACTTTATACTTACTGATTAAAGAGAAATGAGGGTCCAGCCTCTTAACTTTTAATTAGGCAATTGGGCAAATATGATGAGTTTTAGGACACCCTAAGGTTTGGCACCTAACAAAACTTATGATTAATCCCACAATCTCCAAAACCCAATTGACTTTGTAATTCCCAGCCTCATGATTTTATGGGTCTTTGATAAAGAAAAATTTATTCATTACACAAGAAACATGGCCCAAACATTACCTGTCAAGTTTAATATAACCTTCATTCAAATTAAATAGAAGTTAGTGATATATATTTTTACAAATAAGCTAGCTTATTGCTTATTTTGTTAGTTTATAAGCTTCTTTTATTCCAATAATGCTCGTTTGGTAGGAAGGGCTATTTTAAAATTTTCGAACTTATTTCATAAGCTTCTTTAGGTATCTTTTCAAAAAATCTGGTTGCATTTTTTTTTATTTCAGCTAGCTTGTCACCTAATTTTGCCAAACACTTTTATCATATAAACTAGCTTTTCATCTATAAGTCATAAGCTATAAACTCGAAAATTACATATAAGCTATAAGCAGCTTATTAGTTAGTTTTACCAAACATTGTCTTAACCGTTTAATCTCAGTTTTATATAGCCCTAAGAGAAAATTATTTTTTTTTGGTACAGGGACCTTCCGGTTTCCGGATCCACAGGGGAACCGACTATTCCGGAATCGAGTCGGGTAGGACCACAAGGGCGGCAAAGCTCTCCCTCAAGAGTTTTAACACTGCTGCATTCCCAGGGCTCGAACTCGAGACCACTGGTTAAGAGAATTATTTTAAATTCTCCTCAGCCACCCTCCATGAGAATTTTATTTTGTTGAACTCAATTTCATCATTACAGAACATAAAATAAGAAAAAGAATAAGAAAAGCAACATATAAAAAAAAAAATAATAATAATAAAAAAATTAAAAAAATGATCACTTTTGGTGCTTTAGATGCATTATTATGCTAATAAAATGACCAAAAACCTTACACTTGAAGCCAACATAAGTAGTTTGTACTAATTAAAACACAGTTTGGCATTGTCATTTGTTGTTTTCATTAATACTGCAACATTTAACTTATCATCTTATTAGTATGGTTTTTATGCATGCTTGTGAATATGAATAACTGAAATCCATTCAGAACCAACTTTTTTTTTTTTTTTTTTTTGGTTCAAAATGGGAAATCAGAACACATCAGGAATAGTAGGTATGATGTAATAACTTGGAAGTTCTGTGTGTTTCTTGTTTGTTGTTTACAACATATTAATCCTTTAGCAAAAGGTCACTGATCTCGATTTTTTCTTCGTTCGCAGTCGCAGCCGAACAGAAAGTCTCGGAAAAAGATGATGAAGCTATCAGTTCACCGCGCGATCAGCAAGAACAAAAACGGATAGCAAATCAAGAAGAAGATGAAAGAAGCGATTTTCAAGAAAAGACAGATTCGTGTTGTGAAGCTAACGAAAGTCCTCTTGTCGAAAAACCGGCATTTGGTGGCGAGAAGGGTCGGTAAATTCAAGTTCTGTATGACATTTAGTTCTATTATATAAACTTCACCTCAATAGGAAGGCTATAGATATTATTTCAAATTTTCGAAGAAAAAACAGATTTTTCTTTTTATTTTTTTCAATTATTTCAATGCAGAAATGTTGGTAGTTTCACAGGAGCTCCACAAAGGATCTGCCAATGAGGAGCCTGAAACTCAGGCAGCTTCTTTACCTGAAGTCCCGAACGGCCATGTCAAACTGGACGAGGCAGTTTTCGAGGAGAAAATGCTCAACAACGAAATACAAGATCAATCATTCACCTTAAACGGTAATTTTAGCTCAAATTTTCGCATACTCGATTTTTTGCCTTTTCATCATGCAGGTATTGTGTAATTTAGGCAATGTGTATAAATAATCTGGCTTGAACAGGGGATATGCAAGAAAAAGACTCGAATCAGAAGCCAAAATCCACATCAAATGTCGACTATTTGGACCCATTACCTCAAGAATCCACCGATATTAATACATCCGAACCTCAAGAAGATCAAACGGAAAAAGGCGACTATGAAAATGACAATGTCACGGCTGATATTGTCTCTGATAATGAAGAATTATCAGAAGTGGAGAATAAAAACGGAGAGAGGCGTGAAATCGAAACCGATTCCTTTCCATGTTTGGAGAACAAGTCGACAGATAACGAAAGTATACTCATAAACAATACTACCATTGTTGCTAAGATTTGTACAAAATGCGAGCCGGTAATAGAAGATAGTGAGCCTGAGGGGCAAGAAAGTACGAAACCATTCGATAAGTCGAGAAAGTGCCCGAGTTTTGATTTCGGGCTCCCATTTGATGCCAGGTCAGACGACTCGGATCAAACCCCATTGCTTTTTCGAGACGGGAGTGCGATTAGAAGCTTACCGAGCTCGTGCCCGACTCTGAGGTTCCAACACAGAAGTGTCCAGACAGAATATTTCGATAACTCGTTGCATTTTGGAAGTGCGGAGGTTGAAGAGAAGACGATTAGAATGGAAAGAAGCCATTCGGACGGCTTAAAAAGGGACTTAACGCTAAACTCGATGACTAAACCGGAAAATGCAAACGTCGTTACAAAACCGAACGGCGAATGTTCGGTTATTCCTGATAACGCGCGAGAAGATTGTGACGTGATTTCATCCAAAGGGCGCGAAAAACGGAAAGCGAGACCTTCTATGTTTACTACTTGCATCTGTTGCACTGCAACCATCAACTAAGGACATGTTATGGCATTTACAGACACATACACAAACACATAAAAGGTCTTGAGCTTGTTTGCATTTTCTTTTTTCTTCTTTATTTGTTCTGTTTTTATGAATTCATTTTGTTTGTTTTGGTGAGGAAAAAAAATGTTCACAAATAATGAAATTCACTATTTTTTTCCCTTTATATTGAGTTCTGGTTTGAAAATTTCTTGGATTATTCAAAACAGATGTGTAAAATTTGATGTATATTGTGTATTGATGATTTTGTATGTGAAATTGTGTGATTAAGAATATCATCAAAATCTTATTCATACTTTGGAGTGTCTTTAGCATTTTTCAATTAGTCACACATTAATAAATCCGATGGTAAGGAAAACGTACGAGTTGGAAGAATAAATGAATATTCAATCTTAGAAAATACGATAAAACACGATCAATTTCTTATTCTAAATTGACGGAGCAGAATGAAATAGAAGGAATCCCTTATATAGTCCCTAAAGCCTAAACCTAACTTGTTCACCAAAAATAAGTAAAATAACAAATAAATGCTATAATAATAATAATAATAATAATAATAATAATAATAATAATAATAATAATAATAAAACAAATTAAACTAAGACCGAAATTTGAGATTTAAGAACAAAAAAAAACATAAATAAATTAATAAAGATTAAAATGTTGTAAGTAAATAATGGTGCTATCCAATGGTACTCATCATCTTGAAAAATTCATCGTAATTGACTTGTCCATCACCGTCCAAATCAGCCTCTCTTATCATCTGTTCAACTTCTTCATCTGTTAGCTTTTCCCCTAGGTTCATCATCACGTTGCGAAGCTGGCAAAATTTAAAATTAAAATAAATATTGCAAATATAAATAAATATAATTTCATTATTTAAAAATATTTTCCCAATAAAAAATAAATAAATTTAATTAAATAGATATAATTTGACACTAAAAAAGATCTCAAATTGCCTTAGGTGAAGTTCATGGATATTATTATTATTATTATTAAGTAAAATTGCAGTTTTAGTCTTATTGATTTGATCCAATAACGTTTTGTCATAAGAATTGAACATTTTTTTTATTTGATCATATGACATTAAAATTCAATGCAATTTCAGACATTTGAGACTGAAAATGCAACTAGATTTAAAATTACAGGACTTAAATTGTTGTTAGATTAGCAATTTAAGTCCTATAATTTTAAATTTTGATGCAATTCCGTCCTAAAATTAAAATTACAGTAAAATATTAAATTACAGGATTAAAAGACAAATAGTTAAAATCTTGAGATTAAATATATTACATTAAACCAACATAACTAAAAATGTAATTCTACCTTATTATTATTATTATTATTACTAGTTTACTATTATTATTTTACCATAATACATATGTGGTACATATCCCATGTACAACAAACAGTACCTTATGATAGAGACAGTTGTCCAACAATTAATTCTCTTTTGAATTAGTTCTTCCATCCAACTAACAATTAGAAAAGAAATAATTTTTTTTTTCATAAATATACATATTATTAGAACAATATCACTTCAAAAAATAAATTAATAAAAAAATACAGACATTTGATAATATAAATATATATTTTTTGTTCAAATAGACACTTAACAAGAATTTGTTTAAAAGATGTCACATTAAAAACTAGCTAAAACAAGAATTTGTGTTGAAATTTAACAACTATTAAAAAAAAAATTGTATAAAACATGTATTTAATTTAACACCAAAAAAAAAAAAAAATTGAATCTATTTAATTTTGCAACTCACTTCGTTAGCTGATATGTAACCATTTTGGTCCTTGTCAAAAACTTTGAAAGCCTCTTCAATCTCTTCCTCTGCATCAGTTTCCTGATATAAATAAATAAAAAAAATAATAATAAATTCCCATAATAATAATAATAATAAGTAAGTTATATTGGAGATGCTACGGTCCCGTTACGAAACCATTCCGTCAGAGTTTTTAACCGTTAGATCAACTATCCCCGACTTACTTGATGATTTAACGGTTAAAAACCCCGAGAAAACGATTCCGTAACCGGAACCGTAGCATTTCCCTAAGTTACTATACCTTAATTTTCTTGGCCATGAGATTTAAGAACTCAGCAAACTCAATGGTCCCATTTCCATCAGAATCGACTTCATTAATCATGTCCTGAAGCTCCTTCTCAGTTGGGTTTTGATCAAGGGACCTTATCACCGTACCCAATTCTTCTACTGTGATGCACCCTGCAGTTTTGTGCAGTCACATTAAATTAATTAAATAAATGTCTCTTAACAACTTTTTGATATTAATTAAATTAAGGAAATTAACATATGAGCATATATATATATATAGATTTTTTTTTTGTGTGTGTAAGAAAAGAATGTGAAAGCTAATGTGTAAGCATAATAATAAAAGGGTAAAGTTGGTAGTTTGGTACCATCTCCATCTTTGTCAAAGAGGCTGAAGGCTTCTTGAAACTCTGCAATTTGTTCTTCATTCAGTAAATCTGCTGCCATTGTTATTAACTTATATGAGGAGAGAGAAAACTAGAGAGAGAGAAGTTGAGTATAGCTAAAAGCCTCAATCCTTGCTGGGGTTTATGTAGAATGCAGAATCAAATTCATTTAATTATTTTCAAAAGGAGAGAGAGAGAGAGAGAGAGAGAGAGAGAGAGAGAGAGGTTGGTTGAGACTTTGAGTCAAAGTCAACATTATACTGGCATATTAACCATCATATCAAAGAAAAATATATTACTTAGTCATATGGTGTAGAAGGTTTTAAATAACGGGCTAAAATATTTATGGTATTGTAGTTATAGCGGAGCTATAGCGGAGATTTAGCGAGATTTAGCGGTTAAATTGCACATGAATACAAATAGCGGCACGCTGCCAAAAAAAACTATTTCTCAAATAGCAGCAACCTTAGCGAGCTATTTATTTCCTTGGGTGTAAGGACTAGGATTTTGGAGGCTCATCAAATTGTAAAATTAAAATTACTTTAATTCAATGATTATAATGATAATGATAAGTCCTTGCTTTTACGTTTTAATGTTTAGACTCTGGTCATAAGTAGGGCTGAGCATGAGACTCGAAGAATTTTGAATCTTTCTGAAATCACTTCTAATCGAAAAATAACTATTGAGTGTTTGACTTGCATGATACGGTTCCAGAGATTGAATTTTAGTGATCTCTGAATTTCAGTAAGATTCTAGAAATTTATCAATATTCAAACAGTATCGACTCATGCTCACCCAAGTCACATGTAATTAATATGTCACATTATCTTTCAATTTCATGTGTTCTTTTTGTGAGAAGAAGAGGTAAATTTATGATCGTCACCTTTAATTAAATAATTAAAGAAATAAATAAACAGTTGCTTAGGTAGAAAAATGGCAATAGACATATCAAATGCAACAGTCATTAGTCATAATCAAAGTTCTTAATTAAGAAAGTAAATTATAATTGAGACGTGAAGATTAAATTTTACTCTAGGCGAATTAAATAGAACATAAAATACACAACATAATCTATATGTGTATTCAATAGTAAAAAATAGTGACAGAATCGTAACATGACCTTAGCATTTCTCCCAAATAAGACATAGTATTTCAGTACGTAGCGATATTGTATATCTAAAATTCAATGTATTTCATTTAAAAATGTCCCTAATTTATGAGGTTTGATATATAATTGGGTAAAATATTTTTTTCCATCCGAACTACCACGGTTTTGGCGCATCACCATATAAATTATCTTTTTTTACAAACCACCATATAAATTATACACGGGTTCGTCAATGTGCCCCTAAACCACTTTTATATCCGGTTTAGGGGGCATATTGACAAACCCATATAGTTTATATGGTGGTTTGTAGAAAAAAAATAATTTATATGGTGATGCGTCAAAACCGTAATAGTTTGGATGAGAAAAAGTATTTTATCCTATATAATTATTTCCATCTCAAATAAAGTTTAACATGCAGTTGAGTTTGTCGGTTTTTTTAGAATCCATTTGAACATTTTCAACGAAACAGCTAAACTTGGGTTAAAGGAGTCATGTGAGATAATTTAACAGCTAATCGTCAGCTTTAATAGCTTCGGGAATTGTGTTAAATGCTCTTAATTTAATTACAAAACTTTAAAACGACATAAATTTGCTTGGCTGTCAAACGCGCTTTTGCTTGACCATTGGCTCCGTTGACGACACAGACATAAGGCCGCAACATCTCCACACGCACCCTAGATTTTCTTTTTTTTTTTTTTCCTCCCAAACAACATAATTCAATATTCAGTAAGCACATAATTGCAATCGTCTCACTAACAGGAATAGAAAGACAACCCAAGACAACCTAAGTACCAAAATACACAGAATAATAAGAACAAAAAAGTAAAGCTCTGCACAAGGAGAATACACAAACTTTTCACAGAAGAATAACACAAATTTTCCATAAGAAAAAAACACTCTCCTCAAAGAAAAAAGAGTAGATAGTGATATAGCACTTGATAACAAAACACGAGAGGTTATAGATAGTGTTGTAAAATGAGTCGAACTGAACTTGGGTTGTTCGAGTTCGTGTTCGTTTACGTTCGAACAGTGTTCGTGTTCGTTCGTTTATTTTTCGAGCAAAAAATCATGTTTGAGTCCGTTCGTTTAATTCTTCGTCAAAGTTTGAGTTCCTTCGTGTTCGAATAATTTAATACATAAACCTTTTAAATGCGTTCGATTAACTCAAAATTTGTTCGTCCAAACTCGTTCGAGCTCGAAAATAAAAGAATAAAATAAAAATAATGTTATAAATTATATTTTTTATTAAAAATATTATGTAAATATATAGAAAATAAATAAAATTATATTAATTTTTTTAGATTTTTATAAAAATCTTATGTAAATATATATAATATATATATATATATATATATATATATATATATATATATTAAATTAATGTTCGCGAACACAATCAAACATTCACGAACGAGCTCGTGTTCGTTCGATTATTAAATGAGCCTAATTTTGTGTTCGAACTCGCTCGATTATTAAACCTAGAAATCGCATCTCCTCTACGCCTCCTCACTAGTGGGGGTTCTGTTTCTTCAAGGCATCAGTCGGGACCAAGGCTGACAACGCTCTACTCGATGAGTCTTCGGTTCTTATGTCATCGAGGCGCTTCTCCCAGCATAGGGGTGGCCATGGCTTTGGATTGGAGTGGGTCTCGGCGGCATGCTTATATTGCATTGTGGCGGGGGTTGATCGTTGTCTTGCAGTGGTTGGGGTTGAGGTCGTTGCTTTGCTTTTTTCCCTATTCATGTCATGTTACTGGTGTTTGACTGGTAGGTTTATCTTGCGGGGGCAGCTACGGGGTGGCTTTCGTCTCGGGTGTTTTCGTCGGAGTGTGCTTGGGGGAAGAGTTGTTGTGGGTCTATTGGTGTTGACTAGGTGGTGACCATTTTGGGAGGGATTCTAGTTCGTTGGTCCATATTTAGTTAGCCATATGGGAGTTTTTAGATCTGTGTGTTGGGCACTGGGTTGTGTTTCTATCTTCTTGGGTGGTCGCCTTGGGTATTGGCTAGTGTTTTGGAGGTCGGAGCGGCTTATCGGGTAGCTATTAGGTTTTTTCATGTTGGTTGTGTTTTAATTAGTGTGGTGTGTGTTGTTTAATAGTTTTATTCTCCTATTTAGGATTGTCTATTCTTCATTTGTGGAGTTAGGCAATGTTGTAGTTGTGGGTATGTTGCGTTAGTTGTGTTGATTCTAGGCTACCTTCGTGTACTCTCCCAATAGATTCAGATATGTAGCTGCTTGATTCTATAGTATTGGTTGTATGTAATTGTAAATATATGTTTTATTTATAAACTCTATCATTGCC